CTTCCCTTGTTACTGACATATATTAATTGTTTTGATAACTTTTAACCTCTTATTTTCACCCTTCCCCCACTATATGAAAAAGTGATTAACTAAAATAACCATTTGATTGGTAAAAAATGTTGATGTAAAAAACTACATATTTGTGTAGAGCTAATGATGAGGAGCTAATTGAAAAGGAATACATTTCTTCGCTCAATGTGTTGTTTTTTCCCTAAATAAGTGATTTTGTCCCTAAGATGCAGTAATCCAAACAATACATTATATGACAATATTTGAAAGACCAATATTTGGTAGTCGAAAATGGGACTGTGTAAAACAACTGAAATCCTAATGCAAAGTTGTTTAACAAAACCTAATAAAATCAGTTAAGTTTACTTTTCCAACGTCCATACTTTTATTTTTTCCTGTTGTTCCAGCGATAAGTTTATGTCTCTTTTGATTTGTGTGTCTGAATGTTTCTAATTTTCTAAACAATATTTATGATCCGGAAATTAAAATTTAAAGAGTTGAAAATCTGTGATAAGTTGACTGTTTATCTCTTGTTGAATGTGAATTATCTTCCTTTTCCGATTGGAATTGTGAAGGATTAAGATAACTTTAAAAGGATTACCCATGATTGCCATTCCTCGAACTACCACTTAACCCTGAGCTACTTCTGTTTGCAAATATCTTCTTGTGAATCCAGTAGAGGTGATACGTTTTTGTCGCCTCAGCAATACAACAACTTTTCAGTATTCATCACCGTCAATGTGTACCTGGATGATAATTGTAAGAATAGTAACAGAATTGAATTGGACTGCTATTCATTATGTCGCATTCATCTCCACAGCCACCTTTCAATATTTAACAATAGTGTCTCTTGGTGGTAGTCGTATCAGCTGTCGACTTGAAATCAGTCCGCTTAATAAGTTTACATGACCGGCGACAATAATCTGAAAAATTCACTCGGGTTTCCCTTCTAAAGATTACTTTGGTTTCTCATACTTTAAAGCCTATGTGAATAAACCACAATAATTTTACACGTAAAACAGTTGTGCTGATTCTCAATAATTTGCACAGATTTTACATTTACAAAAGAAACTCATTTTCCTTGAATGTCGAATTGATGAACGAAGATTCTACACTTTCCTTATGGTTGTTGAAATCGGATTCAAGTGTTGGTTTGTAGGGATTTGGTTGATTGGTTACAGGATTTCATCATGAGCTGACATTAGTTAGAGAACCATTGGAAAACCTGGGAGTACTGGACAGCTGCTTCGTCCTAGTTTGGGACTCTTCAGCAGTACACACCCACCGGGATTCGAACCCAGGGCCTTCTGGTTACAATTTCTATTTAATTTAATTTTAAGTTAATTTTGGTTACAGCTTGATGCCACACCGTATTTTCAGTACAAGTATGGAATTCTCAGCATGGATATCGGTAGCCCAAATTTTGCAGGCCGACCATAGATATCGGGTGTGCGTCGGCAGCGGACCATGTGCATGGTCGGCGAGAGTCCTAACCACTGTGCCACTGGTTTTCCAATGGTTCTCTAACTGATGTCAGCTCATGATGAAATCTTGTAACTAATCAACCAAATCCCTACAAACCAACACTTGAATATCAATGTGATGGTCATTAGCGTCTTGCCCTATTCAGGTAGGTAGTTACCTGGGTTCTAGTAGGAAGTCGTGAGCAGTAGGGTTCAGCAGGTCGAGTGTGAGGACAAATACTCGCTAAAGACATTGGCTAGCGGTCGCGCTATGTTGTGAATTGGCAGAAGTTAGAATTCATTGCCCATTGGATCGGGTCCTAGGGGCCTCATGGTCTACGAGCTCGCCTTGTAACCAGAAGGCCCTGGGTTCGAATCCAGGTGGGTGCGTACTGATGAAGAGTCCCAAACTAGGACGAAGCAGCTGTCCAGTACTCCCAGGTTTTCCAATGGTTCTCTAACTAATGTCAGCTCATGATGAAATTCTGAAATCGGATTCGTTGGCAAAAAAAGTGGCAAACTCTCTAAGATGTTTTTTTACCGAGAAAAGTGAGGTGAGTAATTGAGCAGTAACTTATCGGTGTCTCTAAGTTATTAATTAATTTCTGACTAATCAATTGAAACCTGTATAAGCTCACTTGACCGGCATGTTCACTAATTTCTCGAGAACATGCTCCATCTAAAGTTCAGGTTTTTACTTATGGGCTCCCTACTCCATTTATGTCTTGTATGTCTGTAGGAAAAGAAGCTATGAAGCAGTCGACTACATAGAATTTAAATTTATCCAGACAGTGTATATTCCTTTCATTCTACTACTTTACAAAGTTATTTAACCACAACATTTTCATTCCAACGTCTTGTTTTTATCATTTGTAGGTTGCTGAAGAGTCACTTGTTTCGGTAGATGTACAAAAGATGATTTGTTCTTCACACAAATTTCTAAATGAATTGCTTATTGATATCGAAAAGAAAATAAACTAAACTGTACTTGCATTTCTTTTACTTTTGTACATGATCTTTATAACAATGAAAGTATTTTCAATAAAAGTGATGATCAATACCTAATTCTTTTATTGATTTATCTTGCTGTGCTTGAACATTGTTACTTTTTCAAAAAGCATTTGCTTCTTGTCTAATCAGGATTTCATCACATCTGCATGACAGGCCTTATATGTCCTTCTAACTTCTAGTGTCCACAGTTTCCTTCTGACTGGCTGTCATGTATGATATACATTAATAAGTAGTTGTTTTGGTTCGTGGGACCTGTTGTGTAAGTGATCACAGTTAAGCATATGCTCATAGAAGGAGTTATGCCCAACTGTAGGATTGACAAGTATCACCAAAATGTGCAGTGTCCAACTTATCGCATCTTTGATTTGATATGTGGACGACAGAATAATCGCGTAAAAGTATAACGGTCAAAGGCATATTTCGAAAATAGGAGAATGCAAAGTTCATTTTGATATGCATATACAAGAAGATTGTTACTTTTACGAATATTTCAGATTGTGAGTAGTTTTAAGTATGGCATTAATATTTCTATTGGTCCCTGATAATTTTTGCTTCTTTAATATATTAGTTTCTTTTCTGTATACAACGAAATCGATTACTATTTTGAAATATAATAGAGAAGATTTGTAGCTCAGATGGATGGCTTTGATTTAGTTGTGTTCTCTGAGCCGGTTGATTTAACTGTAAAGCTTTCATGGTTCTGCTAAACAATATCTTCAGTGCAAGTTTTAGTAAAACATGTATCTAAATTCTTTATGAGGGGAGGGAGGCCACCGAAAGCTTCGCAGCTAAACCTCCTAGCTTACAGAGCACAACTAAGTCAAAACCAATTACTCTTGTTCGTTTGATTACAATGTACATTGAAATCCAGAGATAGGCTCTACAGTAATGTTTACTGCAGGTAGGTTATTAGTGTTTGTCTGTCTCGAAAAACTGTATTTTCTACGTCATAATAATAACTGTATGAAACCCGATATGGCTTTGAATCACATAAGTGACTATTGTCAAGTTTGTCCTCCATTTCGAAATCGCTATAAATTTCACTAGTGAATCATCAATAATTCTAAGATTTGGATATGATTCGAGTTCTATGCCTGCACGACTTTCACAATGTATTGACCAAAGTGGAAGAAATGCCCAGTGTGTCAGAATGTAAAAACAAGGCACAAGCCGTATCATTATCCCCGTAAGCAATATGCTTTAACCCAGACATTTATACAGAAGTTGTAATAAAGTCAACTATATGAACTAACTGTAAGGTTGTAACTGCTCACTCAAAAATAAAGTGAAGAACACTAGACAATCAATAAAAGAATCTTTATTACCGTTGTAAGTTTGAATTTTGTTTAGTATGTGAAATAGTAGCCACGAATCCGCATTTTTTCCGCAAAACAGTTAAACCGTTTTTTCCTACCTTTTCGTTCCAGGATGAAAAGCTACATTATTTACTGGAAATCATTTTCTAGAGCTACTCAAACAGCATGACTAGATTATATTCTCATAAGAAACCACTACAGTCATTATCTTTTCGTTGACTATAAAATTAGAAGTAGTAATAATGACTCACTTTGCACAGATGTGCAGCAGTTCCAGTTACCACACTCCGTGTAGCACACAAAGCAAGAAAAGAGAGATATTAAATAGAAATGTGAGGCAAAAAGAATAGTAATATGGAAAGAGAACAGATCTTTATTGGAAATGACAAATCACAAAGAGTGAATGCATCTGCGCCACTGAGAACGATTTTTAGCCATAACACTGAATTTTACCATCCTGAGGAACCCAACCACGCTGGTAGTCTACACCTCCCTACGTGGCTTATACTGACGTATTGAGCTGTAGAAATAATGCTGTTCAGTAACTAAATCCAACTGCCTTGAGCACTATCTGGAGTAGACTATGGTCAATAAATTTCTCCTGAAAACTAGCGAATATGATAGAAGCATTTAAGGACTACAAACTTATCAACTTTTAAAAATAGATGTTTATTAAAAAGCCTGTATAAAAGATTGATTTTTGATACCCCTTTCAGTGTAGAGGACAAATATAATGTACGTCGGTAGATTCATAGCCACTCAGTATGATTACCATGATGATTCACTTCTGTGATCGATCAATACTAAAATGTATACGTCATTGATTTTATTTAAAATCCTAATTCATTATAATTTATGTGGACCTGTACCCAAAGCTATACAAATGAAGTGTTCGGTTTAACAGGTTTTCTGTTTGAAGTGCATTATTTTATTGTCTTGAAATAAATATAAATCAGACATCGTTAAAAAGCATGCAATGTTCTTGTCAATTCGTCTTTAGTAGTTCAGTCTTCACTTGTTTATCTGCAAATTTTTATGATAAATATGCGTTACTGGTTAGTAAGACACACAATCTGTTATCATTTCAAATGAATTCGAAAAAAAATATTGGATTGAATATCAGCTACCTTGTTTCTCTGATGATGTTTGTTTTCATGCTCTTAGTTTCAGAGTGCTTTCCACGAATCAAATTTGAAAACACATGCAGTCAGCTATTTTCTCGTGTCGTTCATTCCCTAATCTATGTAATTATTATCAGTCTGTGAATATATTCCGTGTTCTGCTGGGTTGCCGTAAATGTTGCTTGCAAACTAAGGCGTTTCAGCCACAATTCGATTTGAACTTGTTGAACGATGAAAAGTTTGTGCATAATTTGCGTGCCAATTTAGCGGCTCGTAAAAATAATTTAGATATTGATTATATGGTAAGTTTTCCCACCAAATATTCTTTCGTCATAGTAAATGTTTTCTCTATAGGAACAATTATTTGATTTAATCTACAGCGTAACCATTGCTATGGTAAAGCCACATATTGTGATGTATCTTTAATCTGTAAGCCCCTCAATAGATATAGTGCACGCTCAAACAACAAGTTGCAATTGGCATTGAAAATATGAAGTTTTAATTTGTCATCATTCGTCAGCGAATTGTGTGCTGATCAGTCCCGTGAATGAGCAACTGAAACTTGACCTAAATAGTAAATTTTTAAAAAATGCTGATAACTGTGAATAAGCATAGATGAAGGACTTACTATTTGACTCGTAACATCCAGCAACAAACTAGATTTTTTTTTACCAGTGTCCTATAGCTTAGTTTGTAATTAACTAGTTGCAAACTTCACCTTAGTTGCTTATTTATAATGTGTAAACAATGTCAGTCGATGTCTGGCGAACATGTCCGGCATTCAACACTGATTTCAAGTGTTCCCCATAGAATATTTTCATCTGACTAGCAAGATTGAATATCATAAAAGCTGTGGTTCTGGGTTCTCCACGTAGTATATCACTGGTCACCTAAACATATTTATAAACTTCAGGTTTAATTGAGAGTATTAATGCTTCCTTGTATTGTGTATTTTTCTTACATTGCAATAGTTGGTATATAATTGAGTGTACAATAGTGTTATAAAAGCTAAAAGTTAGGAATTTAAGAGATCAGTTTCCAATAACTGCATAAAACCCCTAAGATATCGCTACATATTTCTCTCAATCATGTAGTATAATCAGTCTTCGAAGAAAAAAGCGTATTTTATGGCTTAGTGCTCAGTCCAACACTTCACATTATCACGATAATTATTTAAAAATCTAGTAAGTAAAGAGTAAACGCTGGTGAGAAACAACATATGCAGTGTCGAGGTTATAGACGTGTGTTTGTTACCTATGTAAAGAAAACACGAACTTAGTTGAAAGATTCCTTCCTAATTAATATATGCCATAGAAGTTAATTGGTGGATGGTGACTAGCAGCGGAATCCAGGATGCACATTTCGTCCTATTTGGGACTCGTCACTGGAATGCAGGTACATCCGGATGACGAGTCCCAAATAGGAGGAAATGCGCATCCTGGATTCCACTGCTAGTCACCATCTACCAATGAACTTCTAATTACATGTCCAGACATCGTTGAAGCATCGGCACAAGAAGCCGACACGTCAACCTCAGACCGAGTACTTCGGTCCAATCAATCGACGGGAAAATTCTAAAATTGAATTAAATATTTATACATTTTTAGATAATAATCAACTTTATATATTCGACGTCTTATTTCTTTATGATATTCGCTTCTTCTATTCCAGTTAAATGTTTACAAATATTATGAAAAAGAGAAAAGTCAAAAATTGTTAGATGAATTAATGTCATTAGTTTCTCAGTTGCCGAATTTCACTCATCCACTTACGGTAAGTGTTGTTGCTTGTACTTTGTATATTGTTAGTGTTTCTTTTGTCCACGATTAAATTAAAAGTTATACTATAATCTCAGACTACATTTTACCTTTCATTGTGCTTTTCGTTTTTGTTTTTTTCTCAACTTTAGCCCGTCGGTGACGCAACAAAAGCGCGAAGTATATACATTCATGGATCTAAACGTCAAGGTAGGTTGATTTGTGAGTAGACTGACTTCACTAGTTACTTACTGGTCAGCATTATTTACGACCATCTATAAAAGTGCTAACCTCTGTGATAATTTTGTATTTAGTGGTGGAAAGATAATTAAAGTCCTAGTGTAGTCCTGGAAACAACTTGAACGAGTGACATTAGTCTCGCCAGTAAAGTGGTTTTCAAAAACTTCATGCAATTCTTCCCATTAATATACTTGAACAAAGCAAGAAAAACAATTGTACCAGGATAATATGAGCTCATCTTTTACTATTTCGAGGATTCTTCTCAACTGGTTACAACCTGAACGATAAAAAAATATGAATTACATTGAAGATATGAACATACTTTTCCACAATCACAAGGAGTAATTGTTAGGAAGTAAAAGTAACATAAGTTCGGAATGATTTAACTAATTAAGAGTTACAAACACTGACTATTTATAGAATAATTAGACAATAAGGCTTGAAAACAAAAACAGAGTTGCGTATAGATGTGTGTGTGTATAGAAGCAAGGTTTAGCTAGAAAGAGCATGCCAAAAGATAGATTACGTAACTAAAGAAAATGTTTTATCTAATAGCCAATAGAAAAAAGAAGAGAAAAGAACAAGGTAGGGTGAGTCATGTTTAGATGAGAGAGTAGAGTTTTCTAAACAAGAAAAAGGGTGACTCATAAAAGTTGTATATTTTGTTATCACCAGGGCAGTGCAAGATTCACCAGTGTCTCTTTCTGCGTACGTAGATTTGGTTTAAGTCGTTTGATAGCAATTGCTTCAGCAAAGCGTAGCAAGCCAGGTGATTTTGTGTTGATTGATATGTGAGACCTCGCTAGGTCTGAGTTTCAATCACATTTATGTACAGCTTTCGTGTGGTTGATATGGGAATGAAACGTTCAGCAAGTGTGGTTTAATAGTTTTTTCTCAGCTATGCATATATACTGGCAATCTGGCAGTTGTTGTTTCGAGTTCTACCGTTTGACTTTTTATCGTAGATTTATTATCCCTTCATGTTAGTGGGGATTTATTTGTGTAAAAATTTCTCAGATAGTGTCAACAGCCGTTATACATTCCTTGAAGAGAATTTTCTATGTATTTCTTTTACTAGAAAACTGGGACTTATTAGATGTAACCAATATTGCATTAACAACAGGCCAGTCTTCCAGCCGTGAAAATAATGTGAATCCTCAGGCTTTGTCTGTCAATCCTGGAGGCCATCTTCGTGTTAAGCATACAAGTTGGGGTGCTGGACAAAGAACTTATTATTTTGGTGGACAATTAGCCCTTTTAGAATCAGCGCTGGTTGCGTATACTCTTGATCGTTTAAAAGGAGAAGGATTTGGATTTACTTCTGTGCCTGATATTTTGCCTGAACCTGTTATCACAGCCTGCGGTTTTCCAACAAAAGGAATCCGTTCTCAAGTAGAGTTTATCTGTATTATTTCATATGTTGTTAGTTCAATAAATATTGTTATGGCTATTATGAAAACTTAAGATTCGTACTTCGTAGGTTAGTTTCATAACTTTTATGATTTCACAATATACCTAAAACTTATACTATCACTTTGAAAACAATTTGTTCGAAAGTTTTATTGAATCAGTAGGAATTAATGTACTGTACACTGTGCTTTCACGAACATTATCAGATAGATTAGTATTTGTAGAATATTGAAAAGGCCTTTGTACAGTGATTTTAGTGTGATGAAGAACCTTTGCAACACACTACGCACAATTATTTTTACATGCTGAGTTACACTAATTTTTCCTTAGTCTCTCTCTGTCTAGATTCAACATAGAACTTGGCACCGAAGTGCAGCAGTTCAAGTTGCCACGTTCCAAATAGCACACAAAGGTAGACAAGAAAATGAGTGAAGGGAATCAATAGAGTTTTGACAAGTATAAGAGTGAAACAGAATGAGTAATGGTAGAAAGGAATATGAAAGATTACAGAGACTGAATACATCTGCGTAAGCCATTGACAACGATTTTGAGCCATGTCACCTATTGTCTCCAGCCATTGATTGTTGGAGTCCCGAGGGCCCACACCCGGAAGTCTGCATCTCCCTACCTGACTCAGTTTAACTGTCAAGTATTTCATGGATTGGTTCCATGTTTTTGTTTGGCCACCACTCACTCTTTTCCAACCTGCACCTATATCAGCTAGTAATGCCCGTCGGGGGAGGCGATGGTTAGGCATGCGCAGCACGTGACCTAGCCATCTCAATCTATCAATCAATCAACTTTATAACCTCGTCGATTGATTTTCCGTCTTTGTCCAACACTCTACGCCTAACGTCAACATTACTTACTTTATTATGCCACCTAACGTGAGAAAGAGATCGTAGACATCTATGATCAAAAACAGTCGACCTTTTCATGTCTTCAACTCGTATTGGCCATTTTTCAGAGCCATAGGGAAGGATTTTTTTCCTTAGTACCTTTTTCTCATGTTCTGTTTCGATTATATTAGTCGCTGTATCAATGACGAAGTACATTTTTACTGGTAATGTATGCCTTCTGGTAGGCCAGTGTGTTAAAAACTTAATATATTCGTTGGTGTTTATTCCCTACAAACTTAAACGAGTTCTGTACCTTATAAAGTTGTAACTTGTTCACAGTTATAGCTTCAATCTCCTCGAGGTCATGAATTTACTTGGTAGGTTAGTTGGTCTCGGACTAGGATGGAATGACTCTCCACCATCTCTTGGTTCACTCATAAATTTTGGTTTGGAACAAAATTGAAGCCCAAATTGCTAATGTGAGAAGATTACACAAATATTTAGCGCTGAATTGAGCGACATTACTCTCATCTATTTTACTTAGGCGCACATAGTGGGTTGAAACAATGGAAAGTCAAATCAGGAGTCAGTTTTTACTTTTACTTTGCGATAAATTTATTATTAATTAGCCGAATATGTCTGATAACACTCATTCCGACGATGTCATTTTCATTAGGAATATAACAACTTCATACTCTTTCATTTTTTCTGTCTGATAGGCATCTGTTATCTTAATGGGTTCACCACACTTTCATGTTTGAGTGATTTGATAAACAATTTGAGCTAAGATAGTTTCTCCTGGAATTCCTTAAATAGCTGATACTTTCGTAGCGAATTTCAAGGAGAATTCTTACTGCTTTTAAAGGACGTGTATTCGCTGTTCTACCTTCTGTCTATGTAGATAGTGAGATAGAAAATATGTTTTCAGCTTTACCTAGCAGTGGGATGATTTTTCTTATCAATGGAATGTAGCTCTCATTACGTCTAAACAAACAACATGCAACTAACATCAAGTAGACATTGTGGAGCTCTATATCTGAGCAGGAGTAACTCACCCTCTTTCAAGTGCAAGAGAAATAAGTTCATTGTCACAATGTGATAGCTGCTGAGCAGTGACTGTACAACTTTTGAGGATGAAATCACCGAGAGGATATTTCTCCTGAGCTCCTTGTTTTTTTGCTTTAATTCTCTGGTGGACATATTCAGCTGTCGTTACTAAGAGATTTACACAACCTACCTTGTTTACAACACACGCCAGTGAATTTGGTCCATGAAATCAGTATATCAGGTACCTTAGAGTTACTCAGCTCCTTTCAACACGCCGAATTTTCTGGGACTCCGATATATCTCAGCACACACGTGCACTCTCTTTGAGGGATGAGTAAATTTGCTTCACTGTAAGACCAAGTCCCAGTTGATAGTCACATGGGCGTTTTGTTCATTGGTGATGTTAATGCTAGGAAGAATTGTGATGAAGACTACCCTCTTTTTGTTGTTTTTTGCTGACTCATCCACTGTCTGTAACTCATAAAGGAGAGATCTACCGAAAAATGGCAGCTTTACTGCATAAATTAACATTAGGGTGCGACCAAGGTGGATGGAGATTTAAATATTCAGATAAGATTGCTAAACGCCTCGAAAAAAGAATTTCTTTCAAAGTCCCACACAACAAGGAAATATTAATAATCGTATGCTAGAAAGGTATCCGAATGAAAAGGACACTGTCTGATTAAGCGATCACCAAATGCGCATTCATGCACACCATATTACTTTAGGCTTCCATTGTATGGGTTCAAATTAGGATTACAGCTGCTTCTGAAGTGAGTAATTAGATGGTAAAGAGGATCTGTAGTCTGCATTCCCTTGGTGTGTTTTATTGCATATAGGTGCGACTAACAAACGGCTTTTTCAATTTTATCTCATGGATAGAGTGTTAGCAAAATACGATAATTCCACTCAGTAGTATTGAAACTGTAAAAGATGAAAGACTTGGTGAAGGAGTGTTCATTTGCAATTTGGTATCTCTATATAGCCAAATTATGTACACCTTATCTTCAACGCACCATTTGTTCAGATCTTCCGTGTCGTGTTATTTCTGTCCTTCATATTGTGTCTTTTGTGTGTTCCTTTTACTTCCCATGTATCGCCACAACACTGTATCATTTGCTTTCGCTGACATCAAATCTATCTCCCTACTATTTGATGTTTTTATGCCCATGAACGTCTCTTTATATACTACCGATAAATATTATCAGTAGTACATGCCACTGTAGAGATGTATTCACTCGTTGTGATCTTCCAGATTCATTGTATCCTCATTACTCTTTTAGCAGCATATCTACATTTATTATAGGTTCTTTGCTGTTTTTCTACCTTTTTCTGTGCTTTTATGAACTGTAGCGACTTGGACTTCTGTATTTATGTGCAAAGTGTTACGTTGGAAATTCAGCTTGGCTAATATTCAACATATCAATGTTTCCAGTTTACTGACAAACACTTCATAATTTTTTGTTGTAGGTGTACAAAATAACTCCCCCACTGTCTAATTTAACCTATTGTCTCTCTGGAACATCTGAAATGTCACTGGCTGGATTTTGTGCTGGTCGATCCTTCAACTGTCCTTCATCTAAAAATAATGAATCAGATAGGTCAAGTCAGATATCTGCTCTTGGTCTGTGTGCTGTCAGCCGATGTTTTCGTAAAGAAGCACCTCAACAAGAACCGACACTATATAGAGTACATCAGTTTACTAAAGTAAGTACATGGAGGAACTTTTATGTCGTTTTAATGTCAGTTGTTTATATACAATAACTTTTAAAGTACAAAAATTATAGTAAATTGCTGATTAAAAACTGATTTGTTTATACTTATTGTATTTCTTATACTTTGATTACAACTTGAAAACCACTAGATAACATATTGAATCCTCACAGTTAACAGTCATCAGTAGAAGATGTTGTTGTTCGATTCCTAGCGCATGTGATCACGTTGTTTAAGTTTTTAACAGTTAAACTCGATACCATTTTTACTTAATTACCGTAAGTTGACTTTATACATATTTGATGGTTGAAAAAATACGCTCTCACTAATTAATTGTCTAAATGATTAACTTATATGAATCCAAAAAAGAGCAAATATCTGATGTCACAGGTCAACTTGTTACCCGTATTATGTGTCACAAATATTTACTGAGAGATGAAATACAACTACATTATAATGGCTGTCTAGAAAGTGGACAGCGAAAGGTATCATCTATGTGTCGAAAATAATAGTCAAGCCACTTAATTGTGTCTTTAAGTGGACCATTTTCAAGTTTTGCCATGAACATATTCACCAGCATAGGGCCCAGAAGTGAGCCCATCGCAACACCATCATCTTGTCTATAAAAACCATTTTTGAACATAAACTGGGCATTCATCATGCATTGCAATAGTAATTCCTTAAGTTTTTCCGCTGGCATTCCTACATCTATCTTTCATTCTGTCAGTTGGTCACAGAAGTTGACTGTTTCGAGCAACGGAACACTGATGAATAATGATACTACATCCAGTGACATCATTTTCTTTCCGTTTACGTTCAGGTTTTGGGCAGTTTCTACTAATCTAAATACGTGTCTTCAACACTGAATTTCACTAGTTCATGATATAAAGGTTCCAATGCCTTTACCAACCACTTCGATGTAGAATGTTAGGGAGGTGTTCAACTAAACCAGTACTCACACAACGAGCCAAGGATAAATGACTAAAGATGGCCTCATCAGTGTGTATCTATGAATTCAACTACTCATGTGGAGCTAGCTACATTGGCCGTACTCAGAGGGCTTTATCCATGCGCGCACGTGAACATGTATCTGTATGGTTGACTAAAGGGGTAACCAAAGGCATAAGTAGTGCAGTCTTATCCTACTTGATAGATACTGGGCACTCAATAGAGCCAGAGCAGGTGTTCTCGGTTATCTACCACGTTCATGGTAATCTATCTAGAAGAGCCCGATTACGTCTTCAATTAGTAGCTGAAGTGGTAACAATCAATACTAGAAGACCGGGTCTTTGCGTACAGAAAAAGTATGTTCAACCACTATGTTTCACTTTGGCCTACAATAAGGTCAACAAATCCTCCATAAACACTTTAAATTCCTATCGCAATTTTGTTTTTCCTTTTCTTCTTCTTGCCCTTTGTTTCATTAACAAACGTTCATTTCTGACTTTTTATGACTTTTCTTATGATTTCCATTACCTTAGGTTTACAAACGTTTTCAGAAAGTGAATAAAAGGAGGGAATATTCTGTCTAATGCTATGTTCTAATCATTGGAACGTAGCTCTAGAAGTTAATAAGCTATCTAGCCCATGTTAGTTTGCGGTATATTGATCTTCAGATCGAGCAATCTTGTCTTCTAGTAAGCAGTACATCCAGGAAGAGAAACGGCATGTTTAATTCACCTTCTAGGTTAACATTTATTGATGAGTGTGCTGCGTTGAAAGTTGTGAGGAGATCGTCTAGATCAAATTTTTCATCACAAATTATAAAAGGTATCGTCTACGTATCTCTTGTAGAGGTAAAACTGACTAATCAAAAGGTCAAGCATGTCTTTTTCAAGTTAAGAGTGGACCTAAAGGAGACCCTACAATCACTCTATCCTTCTATAAGTAGAATGGAATGCGAATACTGAACGTACATCTGACAGATAGTTTCTTCAGTTAGTTGATGAGAAGAGAGAAACTTCTAGATTGTTGGTTTTGAAATAATTTTCAACGGTGTACATTCCAAAAGAGAATAAAACTTGCCTGCTGTATTTATTGTAGTAAATTATTTGTGATGAAATATTTATTCCTCATTTTCTGGTTGCTTAGAAGAAAAAATAATAAATACTCTTTTTTATTCATTAATTTACAGGTGGAAATGTTTTGCGTTACTGCACCTGTATTGTCAATCAGTGATGCAATGTTTGATCGAATTATTAAATTACAAATCTGCCTGTTTGCTGATTTGGGTTTACATTTTAGGTAGGTTAATTATAAACATTAGATTCTAAACAAATACAGTTAGCTATATACTATTTTAAAACTTCTGAATAATTTGTGATATATACTTACAATGTCGAAATGTGACTACTTTAGCTAGAATTAACTGGCTTGACGAAACAGTAACTAAATGAATAACAATTTTTTGCTACAGAGTATATCACTCGCTCACATCATTTAGAGAATCTTTAGAAACCGGGGAATACTGAACACCTTGATATGATTAAGAGCAATAAATTGTGCTCGAAACGTCATCAGTAAACATTACTGTATAACACTGTGAGAATTTATCAAAACAAATTTTACCCATAATAGAATTATACCCTGCCACAGTGCACAAGTTTTACTCTTATATCAATGAGTACTGAACAACCGTTTCGTCCTAATTCAAGAGTGTGCACCTGTGGTCACATCGGAGGTCGAACCTAGTACCTCCTGGTTTCTAGACAATCCCACTGACCATTCAACTACTGAGATGGAATTCAATGACTTAGGGATTCTAAATGCTACTGATTCGCGATATTTAGCATTGTATGATGTCGTTTTCACTGAAATATCATCATTTAATAGACTACTAACAGCTTTATAACCTTCCAAGTGAGATTATTTCAGAGAAAAAATTTAAGATCTCAGTTAGTAACGAGGTGTTTTCCTAAAAACGTCTAATTGCATGGTTGATTTTGAAATCTCAAACTTCTGTAAATCAAAACATCCACATTAATACCAAATAATATAAGTCCCCCAATAACACTACTATATTTATGTTGAACGTTTTATATTCATCTTAATAAAAAAGTCCTTTTTACAAACATAGAGTTCTTGAAATGCCATCCGAAGAACTTGGTGATTCAGCATGCAGGAAAGTTGATATTGAAGCTTGGATGCCTGGCGATCAAATGTACGGTGAGGTGAGTTATTAACTTCATCAGACTAATTGTATACTGTTATAGTTTAAGTGTATTTCCAAGTGAACTGTAAGGCCTGGTATTATGAGAACAATGGTTTATTAGTCCAGCTTGCAGTCTCCTTCAGGAAATAAAGCGAACTTAAGGAGTTCTCCAGAATGAAATAACCGTTTTCTTTAATGAAGTACTTGGGGGTAATCTGTCTAAAACATGGGATCAATCCGTGCAGCCCCAGGTAGGGAGGTGTAGACTACCTGCACGGGGGTTGTCAAGACGCTAGGAACAAATCACTGCAGCCTGTTAGTATCATGACTCAGTAGCGTAGTCGTGTCCACTCCTTTTGAAGCTTCCAGATTCATTATTTTCCCATTATGTCTCCCACACATTACCGTTTAATATGGGCACTTTGGCTGTTTTGCCAACTTGTGCTTTGTTGAAGTGTGGTATCCTGAAGTGCTACACTTTGGTGAGAAGTTCTACGCTAAAAATTCATTTCAGTATCGGTTTGGATTATTTTGTTCCTTTGACTTGTCCTTAATTGATAAGTTTCATCTTTAAATCAGTTTTTTTACAAATTCTATGGTATTCTTCGTGTCTCCACCGTTTGAAATATTTACTTGTTCCCAGTCCGATATGGCTCAAAATCATTCTCAATGGCGTAGATGCATCCACTCCTTGTAACTTATGATTTCCAATGAAACTATATTGTTCTTCGTTACTACTATTCCCTTGTCTCTCACATCTGTTTACTGTCTATATTATGCATTTCTTCTACTTTCTTCTCTTGCTTTGTGTGCTACATGGAGGAAGTGTGGCGACTTGAACTACCGCACATCGGTCCAAAGTCCTATGTCGAATACAGACAGGCAGTCTGATCGATGTTGATAATTGACCACTTGTGACGATATGAAGGAATATATGTCATGTTTTTGAATCTTAGCTTTTGTTCATGGATGCGAAAATAAAGGCGAAGTCCGCTTTCGTCATTATAGCATTGCTTTAGTAATTGAAACAGGTGTTTAGAACTTATTTGTCGAAGTCAAGTCCTCTTTCAGCTTAAGTTATGCAACAATTTCGCATAAGCAACAGCGTACTGATCAAAAGATTATGTTAGATAGTCTCTATCGGTTGACCAAAAATCTTTTATCTATTCGATTTTTCCATTGGGAAGGGAAAACATGAAAATGTATTCGTCATTTTGATAAAATACGAATAGATATATCTACTTCATTCACTATAAAAGACCACAGTATTTTCAGCTATTAATATAAGTGTATGAAGTGGTAAGTAGGTTCATTTAGCTGTTAATTTCGACGCATTAGCTACCCCAGTTTTCTTTCAAACTTCAGTTACTAATTTTATAAGATGTGGACTTGAATATAACACACTAGACGGCGATTCATTTAATGCTGGTCAACGGCTTAAGCTTATTTAGGGACAGAAGTCAGGACCCTTGTATTTGATGAATCTCTTTTTTTTCTTTACATAAGCCTACTAGATTTCGTTAACTTTATTCTATATTTAGATTTCTAGTGCATCAAACTGCTTAGATTACCAGTCGAAACGTTTAAATATTCGATGGCAAACATGTGAAAATCAAAATGAATTCGCCTATACCGTGAGTGTTTTCAATTTCCAAATATATTTTAGTTCATGTGTTTGCAATGAATTATTAGTTTACTCTTATACTGGCAAGGAACTGCTATTATACTATTAGCTAATAGATAAATTCGTGATCGTCATGGTGAAAATCACCATTATGTGAATATTAGTGTAATATTGTCACGTGTCACTATTGCTTTTTAAAATTTAATGCACTTAAAAGCA